TGTGGAATTTGGATGATGGAATCATGGAACTTGCAGAACAAAATTCTTTCATAATTAATGTAACTGGAGAATCTAGCGATACTGATTAGTGTTTTAAGTAATTTTAAGAAAATTTGTTTCCATTAAACTTAATTAAATGCTTAAAAAAAATAATTTTTACTCCACTGTGAATACACCTTTACCCTGTAGTTGCACTGATGACTCACTATTTTCTTAACGCGAACGGACTGCGATTGAATATGATAGAATGCGGATTTTTTTATAGTTAAAAATTTAATAAAGCATTTCGTACGTCTCAGTCGAGGCGCAAATATTTTTCGGTCGCAAATTTACAAGACCGATTTGTTATTCAAACATAAACATGGTTTTTTAATTAAATCTACACATCAAAAAACGACACGCATTTTTATTGAACACTTCCTATTCAATTCACAAAGTACCTATTTTATTTGTTTACAATCATAAAACTAAATGGAAACACAAAGTAGGCAAATGTAATTAAAATTCTGGAGGCAGGCAGCCCTATCGCATGTTTACATACCGCGCGGCTGTAGGCATTTGTTTCAAAGATACGGCCGAGAGGAGATACTGTTATAGATAAAACTACCGTGGTACAATGGTGATTCGCGCTTGACTAGTTTTTTGTAGCAGTCGAATTTAGTGGCTTAGAATCGGTTTGCAAAATTTCTTATATAGGTATGTATATGTAGGTACTTGCATAGACCTGCTACCAACATAATTACATACGTAAACGGTTGTCACATTACATACATACACGGCGAAAACTATAAAACTCAAGCTTAGTACTAAACCAACAATGGGCAGATCCTTCCACTATAAGAGGAGATTTCCAGTAAAGGCTCTCATTGTACGTAATGCGTTTACAATTTGAGATCAGCTTATACTGGAGGGTGTAGTTTGGTAATTATGTAGCCACGTGTACTAGTAACATATCTGTTACATGTTTAGATAGGTAGAAAATACTCACGTACTCACAATTCAGCTAAAGCTAATTTATCAAGGTTGTTTGTTGTTTTATTTTTTTAAAAACGTTACCCCACACTATTATTTTCTCTTGAATCATGGAGGCAGTTTACAAATATAAATTGCACAAAGACAAACATCCAGATCCGGAACAATTATTTGTAGGTCATACAAATAATTGTTCCGTGCGGGATTCGAACCCACGGACTCCAGCGCATCAACTCATTGCTAAGCCATAGATATTATAGGTAGGTACTTACCGAACACACTTATATTTTATTTATTAATAACTAAGTGCTTGGCTTCTGCACTACGGGTCGGGGGTTCGATTCCCATACGGAACAAAATATTTTAATGACCTATAGATAGTTGTGAAAATTTATGTTTGTAATCGCACCGTCTCCGATTCAGGAGAAATCCTGGAGTGGGGCAACGTTATAAAAAAACAATTACTACTAATTTTGTTGAATATTGACAAAACAAAAACAAACCTATTTAGGTAACTTCACCTTTTTTTTTATAAAGTTGCACCACACTCGATTTCTCCTCAATTGTAGACGGTGCGATTACAACCACAAATTTTCACATACAGAAACACCTGTGACTAGTAGCGCAACAACCAATCGCTTAGCCACTGCACCAAACCTGCAATATGCTAAATTTCTACATAATATTGTAATCACTAATACTCTAAGTAGATAGGTCGGTAGATACTTACTTCATTAAGTTTATCATACGCTTCTTATTTTTATTACGCTTATTTCCCATTGCGCCAACACTATAAACCTAAGTGTCTATTTTAATTTTACGTCGTCCTGTTGCGTAATGTGTGTTCTGAGCACAAGCGACACAACCCTTCCCTTCAAAAGCCGGAGCTAGTTAGTGTGAGTGAATGACGGTGTCGGGCGGTTTAAAACGACGATAGTTTAGGTAATTTCTTTTTACGGTGAAAGTAATGATAAATAAAAAAAGTAAATAACATAAGCCCTGCTTTATAGTTAGTTCAGTTAGTATGCAAAGTTTCATGATCTCATTTTAAGTATTTTTTGAATACCAGCGGTTTATAGTTCAGTTTGGAGGTAACTTTGGATTCTTTTTCTATCGAGAAACTTTTATGGAATCGTGTTTTCGTCTAACATAGTACTTAACATTAATCCTCAACTTCACCATATATTTATTTCAAAAACAATGCTGCAGTATTTTCGGCATAACAGAGGATCTTGCTAAGCCATTTGAAGTACTATGCGCCCTTAAACTCAAAAAGCGCCATCGGTTGCTGCAATCTGCGTCAATATTGGTTGATACGTTGAAGAGAAATCGTTAACGACAAATTTCGAAAAAGTTATTTTTTTTTTTTTTCAAATATCTTCAAAGCTTTTCTTGAATCGTTTTTGATGTAATAAATTAACTATGAGTGCTTAACTGCATCGAACGCCGTCAAGTACGTCAAAATCGGTTCATTTGTTCGTGAAATATTCAATTTTGGAGAAAATTTAAAACCTTTGTACTTTAAAATTATAATTTATGACGTTTATGAGCTCTTCTGGATGGAGTTTTAAGCGCTTTGCATTTAAAATTAGCGGAAAGTTCCAGGGAGCTTCTAGCTTGTAGGGTCAACAGTATTTTTTTACTTATAAATAACCATTTGCGAGTGGTCATGTAAGTCGTGATGTATTGCTCCTTTAAATATAGACATTCTTACTTAAAAAGAATCCAACCAACACTCACGGCAAAATGAGCTTATTTATACCAAATAAATTATTAGTTTCTATACTTTAAATAATTTCTATACTGTATTAGTTTTTAAATAGAATTAGGGTGACAAACGAGCACACAGTCCACCTAATGGTAAGTGGAATCTATGGCCCATAGACCTTTAGACCACAGACATTTAACCTCGATTAAGAATTGAAATGCAGATGTCACCCGTGAGGACTAAGATGGAATGCCTCGATTCCAGTAAAACGGGTCTCTGGTTCTCTACACTCGCCATACAAAACACAGCAGTATCAAATAGTTATTCTGTGAGAGTGTGGTCCTTCCCCGGTCGAGCCGACCCTTTCGTGCTACAACCATAATAAATATAACTGCGTTAGGTTTATTAAGTTTTTGACTAGAAGGTAGGACATATTTTCTGACTAAGACTCTGCCTGTTACCTACACAGGTCACGTTCTTACCTATTTTGCCGCCAAATAGCAGTGCGTAGGTACTGTGTTCCGGCTGGGAGGTATTCAGAGTCAGTATAAGTATAGGCTGTCAGCCATTCCAGCTTAGTTGTCAGAGGTGACAATCCATTTTGGAGCCTTTCTTGATTTAAGATAGATGCCGTCCACGTGCAGTGTCCATGAAATACAGTAGCCATTTACCATCTGACAGTCTTTAAGTCCGTTTTCAATGTGGCTTTTTGAATAGACTCTAGAGTTCTTTGTTTCACAATAATTATTTCATAATTTAATAAATTTAGATTGTAACTTTGTGTGATTAGGACCATATTACTTAAGTTATAACTCCTCTGAACTTATCCAAAGATACGCCTACTTCTCCCTCATTATCCTGCACTCAGCTGATAGACCAGCTCAAGTCTCATGAAAAATGAGACACAAATGTGTTTTGGTGGTTTTCTTTTATTTTTTACTTCTAATCTTCATTAATTCCTAAAAGTCTATTGCTGTGTATGGCCTGTTCATCATCAGTAATAGCAGTACCAGATTTTTCGCGCATTTGAATTTGCTACCCGTTGGGCAACGTCGGGTTCGGACTTTCATTAGCCACAAGAACTCTGTTATTTAGGGTTCCGTAGTTAAACGACAAGGTACCTTTATAGTTTCGTCATGTCCATCCGTCCGTTCGCGATTTTACTCCTATGAGATCCTAGGTGTACGAAGCTGTAATTTGGCATAGTTATATATTAATCACACCTACAACGATGTGAAATAAAATCCTGAAAAACATTTTGTTGACTTGAGTACCTCCCGTACAGGTGGTTTTTATCCTCCCATAGAGTCATCCCTTTTACCCCTTACCAACTAAACCGCTGTTTTTGGAGATGTGAACAGTAGTTTAAATAACGAAATAAATAGAAGGAAATAATAATAGAATAAAAGGAAACCTATCACAGTTAAGTAAGCTTAACAATTTAACGAGTAATAGTCGTACAACTTACAAAATGCACTTGGATTAGTAAAAATTTCGTTTCAACTCCATAGAAAATTACCTAAAACTAGCTGCATTACAGCTTTATAATGTTATTGTAAACTATAAGGAAACGGCTTATGCATTATTACTATAGCATTACGTTTTCCATTGCGTGGTAGACAGAGAGGATTGATCGCCAAGAGATCGATCCTGAAATGCCACTTCCGCTTATTTTTTAGTTAGTAGTTATTGTAGGCCTAAAGTTTAATTCCTGGTACTCATGGTTTCCGCGAGGGAACCTCAGGATAGTTTAAGGCAATGGTGGTTTACGGGATAGTTCATTACGGCCCTGTATATCTTAGGGTTTTAATGCCGGGAACTAAAAGTTGGATTTAAGATGTGAATGATTTGATGTAAATTGTATTATTTCTAAAACCGAAAAGTTTTTTTTAATAAGTCTGCTTGAAAAATATGATCTTCGGTTACCACCGTACTATTTGGACCCATTTTTAGTCGTTATAGCGGTGAAAACGCGTACTTACTTAATATGATCATAGTATCAAGGAGGCCACTTCTAAGTATTGTGAGTGCAACTACGGAACCCTATCTCTATTGTGCGTGGTCCGACACGCATTTGATCCGTTCTTATTCTTAGTCGGCACCCACAAAGTTACAATGGGAAAAAAGTTCGCCACCCTGTGACTAATTATTAGAGTAATGATTTTTTTATATTATTTTACTTTAATTATTAGAGTAATGATTTCTTATATTATCAATATAAGAAATCATTACTCTAATTATGTTTTTTACATACCGTCATCCAACATTTTATAAAGATTGTATTTAATCTTTAGTCTTAAAAAAACGTAATGTTTATCAGGTGGCAGGCGGTGGCGCGGACGGGTCTCGTGTTTGGGCAGTAGCAGCGCCCACAGCTGGCAGTGGAGCGGGCGGGGCCACGAGCGGAGCGTTAGGGGCCACGAGCGGAGCGGTAGGGGCCACTAGCGGAGCGACAGGGGCCACAAGCGGAGGGGGCGGCGGGGCCACAAGCGGAGCGGGCTGTGGACCTCCATCAGGCGTCAGGCCAACGTTACCACAATCTCTCGCAGTACTCAACGGCAGGCGCTTCATCGTCGTACCTCGCTCGCTTGTGAACTCCGATCAACATTAATCATTGATCAATGATGCACTAAAATTACTGTTTCGGCAGGATATTTTTCGTACAGAAATTTTTAAAAGAATATTTGTATTGTGTGGTTGCCCTTGATGGATACTGCGCTGACGAACATGTCCCAGTATGTCAACTCATGACATTCAACTCTTGTGCTGGACTGTTTTGAAAAGTTTATTATCACCAAATTTATAATTACGAAAATGAAATTATATATATTTAGAGACTATAAAGTCTTGAATCACAAATTCGTAAAATTATATTATAAAAACTGCCATATGAAATTGAAATTTTAAAAGATGTGTTCAATTTTTGTTTAGTATAAGATAATAAAATAAGTGTTCATGTGTTTGGTATTTGTGAGTGTGTGTTCGATAATTGTACTAAAAGGGAATGGCGGCACCGTAAAATATAAATATTACATTTATTATGATTTCTAAAATGCTAAAAATAAACGCTCTAAAATAAAGACACATAATTTAATTATTTAATCTGATAAATAAAATATCTGAAAGGCTTCATTTTGCTATCACTCACAAATTTCTAAATTCAGCATTTATAATTTATATAATTCATTTTTATTTTTACTTTATTAGAATTACTTTTAGATAACATCATACAAAATATTATGTATTTGTGGTCAAATAGCACCCTGTATATTACATATATACTTTTATTTAGGAGATTTTTTAACGTGTTATGTTTATTTTGTTTATCCAAATTCAATCTTTTTTTATTCATTAGCATACTTGGTGTAAATTATTTTACTTGTATATTCTAATATGACAAAGGTATATTAATGTTGCCCTCACTATATTTTACTGGACAATTTTTGTTGCTGGCAACTGAAGTAATATTATTGACATCTGCGGAATACATGTGGAATGACTGACGAAAATCACAGGCTGGTCACTTAGGTGGTCCTTTTTATATTTTCTTATTATACGTGGTAGAGCCATGCTGTAGGTTCATTATGGTTGTAGCACGAGTGGGTCTGCTCGACTGGGGAAGGATCACGCTCTCATAGAATAACAGCGTAAGTACCAGCTCAATGCTACTGTGTTCTGTGTGGTGAGTGTAGAGAGCTGGAGACCCTTTTTACTGGAAATTAAAAGCAAGGGTGACAACGCATCTGCATTATGATTCCTAAATGAAGATAAATGTAGATATCTAAGGGCCACAGCGTCCGAAATCCATCAGGTGGACTGTGTGCTCGTTTGTCACTTAAAATTCATCTAAGGACACTTCATACATTAAAATTCTTCGAGGCTATAAAAGAAGGACACAAAAGAATAGACGAACATTTTCCTCTCAGGACAGAACTTCCATAATGTGCAGAAAGTTATAGTTTTGACTTTTTTTATTATTAGTAAATACCTTTAACACATTTAAAAACAAAAAGTAATTTTAAACTTGCAAAAGCAAACATATTCCAAGCACAAACAGTTCAATTTCATACATTATTATTTTATATTACCAACATTTTTTGCCTAAGTTAATTTGTATCATATATATTGTAAGAAATGCAATAAATACTGTGTAAAATTGTATACAATACAAAACTGTTGAAAATCTTATGGTATTTATTTTATTCTATGGGAATTCCGTAAGAAAATATTTGATATATTTTTAATTTATTCATTATTTTTGATTATCGTCATGTTTGTTTCACATTGGCCAAATAAAGTGTTAGAATTGTTGATGCTGACTATAGGCAGTGGTGCAGTAACATTGAGGCTTAATTTTATTATAGTTATCGAAAAGAAAATAGTGTTGTCAGATGGCATTGGTTATATACTATAATACATACATAATAGAAGGGGGGAGTGGGTGAAGACCGTGTAGCCACTAAAATGTCACTAACATGTCAATTTACACGTATAAATGTCAACACGAGATGTGTTGACATTTCGATTTACATCGCTCAAATTATTTAGAAAATGTCAAATTGCACACTATTTGCAAATAAATATGTTGACTCATGTACCCGACCCTGTTCCAAAAATCACTAATCTTTCAACCGACATCGCCATCTAGTATCGAAACGAAGAACTAAGCTTCTAGAAGCCCGACACTAGAACTTTCGACGCCTTGTCGATTGGCGCGCGTATTTACTTGAATATTCTGGATGTTTCGGTGATAATGTGTATTTAAAGGCGCTGCAAGATGCGATCGGGGAAGTATTGAATTCGACGAGACAAGCGAAGCTTCGGAGCGAAATAAAGTGAATCAGCGTGGTTAATTATTAGTGTTCTAAGTTTTAATTAGTGTAAAGTGAATTAAAGATTTAATTTTGGTAATTCAATCGGCAGTTTTTATTGTCACGAACCTCAAGCTCGTAACAATATGTATTAAAATTTAAACGATTTTTTTTAATGATGATCTTGAATATTAATCAAAAGTTTAAAATGTATAAATTTACTCAGTCTGTCAACACAGCGAATCGGGTTCATAGTAGTGATAATACGACGTAATTGTTTGTATGTGTGCTCCTGGCGATGCCGACCCTCGTACAAAATAAGGTTGACAGCCATTCTATTGTGTATTATAGTATTCTATGGTTTGAGTGCTTTAGAGAGGAAAATCTTAGTTATAAAATAATAGTGTATATCGCCGTGTAATGTCCACTGCCCCATATCATCCCATAAGTGTCGTAAGAGGCGTCAGAGGACACCATCATCTTCTTGATAACAACACAAAGTAATAGGAAACTGCGGTTACCAACTTGGTAAATGTGTGCGTGCCAAATGTTGTAATTGTCATGGGTGGCCAATGTTCAGCAGTCAATGTTGTGTAATGAACGAATAAATATCAATACTAATTTTTCTTTTGTTAAATTCAAATCAAATTAATCGAAAACTAAATTATTTAAGCTAAGACGCTGATGAATGAAATTTATATGTCTAATATGTTTGCGGTGGTGTGTAATGGATTTATAGGCTTCTTTCTTCAGAAATAGGTGGTTTATATATTTATTATCTATTCCTGCAGCCAGATAGCAGTGCCGTCTGAAATGTATAGAGAACTAGTATAAATAGTACATACAGGCATTCTATCATAGTACTTAGAGGTGACACGTATCTTTAGTCTTCTTTGTTTGAAGTTGGTGGCAGATGTCTAAAGATTGTACTACTTAACATATCAATTGTGTTCGTTTATCATTTTATTTTTATAAAATTAGGTTTGTTCCGCCATTCGACTACTGTCGAGAAACATCTAGCACAAGAATTAGAAGTTTAATTTAAGATGTAACTAAGAACCTCGATCGATTCGGCGGCTTAGCGATTACTGTACCTGACATCAAGCATCTATGGCGTTAGGCATAATTTTCATGGTATAAGAAAAATGTGAGATTTTGGCATTTCCCTTTTAGTTACAATTTCGTCTCTAAAGTGTAAAAAGAGGTGAAACTTATATACATACCTAGTAAATGTGCACTTTTTATTTGTACAGATTGGCAACACGGATCAGTGTCTCTAAGGTGTGAGACGTCTTAAACTGTGATTGCCAATCCTTTAATCCAAAGGAAATGCAGCAAATCCATTGACGGGAGAGACTCGTATTTAGTAGACTGGCTGATACCCGCTCGTTTCGCTGGGCGCATGATAATAGACGATAATAACGTAGATATAAAATATGAAGAATTGTTTTTTTATAAGACTATCATACAATCCGTTTTTAGTGAGAGTCTACATTGCGAAATGAGTAACTATACTAAATTTCAAGTCAATCAGGCGTATAGTTTTAGGGATATCGTGATGAGTCAGTCAGTCATTAGTATTTAGCTCGAAATATATATAGATAGATTGGTAAAGAAAAAACAAGAGGTATATACAGTAATGTATTTAGGAGTAAAAATAAAAGAGACGTCCTTTGCAGTGAAAAGATGACACGCAGTCGGGTGGCGAACGGCGCGGCGTCGCCCAGCGCTGGGCCGCGACGTCGCGGCCGCGCGCGCGCGCCCGATCTCGACCACTTCACCGCCTTCTGCACGCGCGCGCGCCAGCACAACTACAACGTCGCCGTGCAGGTACTCACCATACATATAGGGTATGTTTCGAAACGTTTCCAGTATACTGCCGAATACAAATGATCTCATTAATTGACACCATATTGTACTTTCGTGCCGCCGCCATATTGTGTCGGATATCCGGCCATAATAAAACGATTTTTAATTGTGTGTACGCTGAATGAAGGACGCCAGAATTTGTTTGTTTCAAATACAAAAAATGATAGAATAATTGCTGGTATCTCCATTAGGACGATATAATGACTTTTGGAGCACAAAATGACAAAATAATTGCCAACACTTTTCCAATATGACGCAAATATATGATCACATATACTGTCAAATGTTTTGAAACGAATCACCAATATGGCGTCGATTTATGACGTCATCTACATTGGACAGTACACTGGGTTATATTTCGGAACATACCCATAATACCGTACTTTCCCACATTGCTATAGTGGTTCTAGCCGAGGTTCTTACCTCCATCTGAGGGGTCCTTGAATCAAATTAAGCCTCCCCCACTCTAGTTCGAGGAATCTCACTCCAAAAGCAGGTGTCGGGGTGCTTTGGGACCGTAGTCGTTGCACTTAATAACTCGTACGTTCAAGCGTACGAATCTTAGAGATGAGACATACTTGAAAAAATTAATACCAGGGCTTCTAAGTACGAGTACGGAAAAATACCAGGGTTGAAAACCAGGGTTTAAAAATACCTTGAAAGTATTTGTTAGTGTCAATATACAGGGTTACTGGTAACTCGACGTATTCCCGCCAAGGCGTGATAGTTGGGTTCATAACCTATCAAATGAACCATAAAATGCATTATGCAAATGTGGACCAATTACGAGATATTTAGGTTTAATTTTTTTTTAAATCCCAAATTCTGGTGTCAAAAATTTCTAAAAAAAACTTACAGCTGTATTATTTTCATTTTATTATTTTTACTTAATGAAAACCTGGATACTTATTTATCAATACTACAGTGTGCAAAAAGTCTCATCATTTTCGAAGTAACGCTACTAAAAGTACAACTTTTTCCAAACAGAAGATAAGTAATTAAAAATAAAAATGATTTTGTGAAAAATAATTGTATGTGACCAATTGTGCAAATCATGTTAAAAGCATCCCTACTTATCTAGCTACCCAACGAAGTATCAATTTAGCTTGTAACTTAAATAGTACAGAAAAAACTTGAAAAAAAAAGGGGCCAGGTAGACAAGTTCCGAGTAGCAATGTTTTGGGTAATCCCAAACAATCGCTTCTCAGAACCTTATCAACAGCTGCGGGAATGCTCGTAAAAGATTGTGCGTTTGAACTTACGCTATTGTTTACATTTAGTGTGAAATTAGAAACAAGTTAAACAAGAAGAAACTGTTCAATCAGTCATCAGTATTACAGGCATCGTACACACGCGCGCATATCCCTCCCTGTTACACTTAAAGAAGTTGAGTTTCAAAGTTTTATGGCGGCGGAACCACCAAGACGCGGAGATCATGCAAGGCAATCATTTTCCAACGAGGAATACGCAGATATCTTTTATCTCTATGGATATTGTGACAGTGACGAAGTAAAACTACTAAAAGTACAACTTTTTCCAAACAGGAGATAAGTAATTAAAAATAAAAATGATTTTGTGAAAAATAATTGTATGTGATCAATTGTGCAAATCATGTTAAAACATCCCTATTTATCTAGCTCTAGAATGAGGTCAGGTAGTCGAGTTCTAAGCAGACAAAGGAATTTGTGTTTTATTTTTAACCAATATTAATCTCCTTCTTCCATCACATGCACTGGTGTGTAGTGGTACGTATAAAGCCCCGCAGTATGCACAGTAGACCAGACCTTCCACTGCGATACACCTAAGCGACGAGCAACTATGTTCGTGGAAGTGGTTGGATCTTCTTGAAATTTACTCAAAATTTCTTCATCTTCTGTGACATGGGGTGGTCGGCGATTAGGGTAGCCGCTGTAGGTATTCACGGCGAGCAGCTGCAGCGTCACCGTCACAATATCCATAGAGATAAAAGATATCTGCGTATTCCTCGTTGGAAAATGATTGCCTTGTATGATCTCCGCGTCTTGGTGGTTCCGCCGCCATAAAACTTTGAAACTCAACTTCTTTAAGTATAACAGGGAGGGACATGCGCGCGTGTGTACGATGCCTGTAATACTGATGACTGATTGAACAGTTTCTTCTTGGTTAACTTGTTTCTAATTTCACACTAAATGTAAACAATAGCGTAAGTTCAAACGCACAATCTTTTACGAGCATTCCCGCAGCTGTTGATAAGGTTCCGAGAAGCGATTGTTTGGGATTACCCAAAACATTGCTACTCGGAACTTGTCTACCTGGCCCCTTTTTTTCAAGTTTTTTCTGTACTATTTAAGTTACAAGCTAAATTGATACTTCGTTGGGTAGCTAGATAAGTAGGGATGTTTTTAACATGATTTGCACAATTGGTCACATACAATTATTTTTCACAAAATCATTTTTATTTTTAATTACTTATCTTCTGTTTGGAAAAAGTTGTACTTTTAGTAGCGTTACTTCGAAAATGATGAGACTTTTTGCACACTGTAGTATTGATAAATAAGTATCCAGGTTTCATTAAGTAAAAATAATAAAATGAAAATAATACAGCTGTAAGTTTTTTTTAGAAATTTTTGACACCAGACTTTTGGGATTTTTGAAAAAAAATAATTAAACCTAAATATCTCGAAATTGGTCCACATTTGCATAATGCATTTTATGGTTCATTTGATAGGTTATGACCCCAACTATCACGCCTTGGCGGGAATACGTCGAGTTACCAGTAACCCTATATATGGGAATGACTAATTCGAGTCGGGCCACAATTTTGATAGAACATTTTTTTGTTAACGAAATGAAATCTTTTCCACATCATGCATTCTGCCTTATTTTTTCCTTTGTCCACAAAATGATCCCACGTAAAAATTTTCTCAGAAGCCATACTTAGGGATTTGTATGTGTACGTAGATCTATTTACTATTAACCCATGATCTATACACAAAAACACTTTACACACTATTATGTATATTCACAGTTTAAAAATCGTCATTTACAACAAATGAACACAATAATGTTCAGTTTTATTTATTTATTTGCTTAAACACAAATTTATATAAAATTTTAAAATTTGTCTCTTAATTTAATAAACACGCGAATTAACTATTTAAAAATTACGTTACGGTCCGTTGGTTACGTAATCAGTTCACAATAACAACTGAATTTACAAAAATCGTAACAAAACTTGCTCCTTTTCCTTTAAGTTAGCCTATTTGATTGACAAGTTTCCGAATAGATCGGATGGTATATGCAATATGCATTAAGTACGTATAGTACACAGATTTCGGTTCAAGCTTTCGGCCGTCGTCGGAAGTACTTGGGGTTGGCTCGGCAACCCACTACCTGCGCGTCCCCACTGCGAACGCTTTGATCGAGATCCGCACTGCTTGCGACGCGACCGACGCGACGTGTCCAGCCCTTTGAGTATTTTCCTCAAGTATTTAATACTGTTACAAGCTTGAGGTTCGTGACAATAAAAACTGCCGATTTAATCACCAAAATTTACACTTTTATTCCCGAACACCAATTAAAAGTTAAAAAACTAATAATTACCCACACTGATTCACTTTATTTCGCTCCGAAGCTTCGCTTGTCTTGCCAAATTCAATACTTCCCCGATCGCACCTTGCAGCGCCTATAAATACACATTAGCACCGAAACATCCAGAACATTCAAGTAAATACGCGCAAGGCGTCGAAAGTTAGATTATCGGCTTCTAGAAGCTTAGTTATTCGTTTCGACACTAGGTGGCGCTGTCGGTTGGAAGATTAGTGATGTCATTTTCTGGAAAGTTCCCCCCTCGCTCTCGTCCCTGTCACAACATGACGTCAACTTAGGCGCGCAACACTGCCCCCTCCTAAGACATGCTCGTCCCGAGCATTATCGGCTCCATAATAACGCGCCAAGCGATCCACATGGACGATCTTAGGAGTCCCTCTTGCGCCTTTCTGTATCCGGTAGGTTACATCGTTGATCCTGGTCACAATCCAGTACGGGCCGTCCCATTTAGCTTGAATCTTAGGAGATTTCCCTTTGCTGCGGACTGGATTGTGCAACCACACTAGTGAACCTTCGTCGAACCCTTTATTGTTCATTTTGCGGTCATACCGGGTTTTCATTCTCTCAGACATTTGCTGGCCCGATTGTCTGACGTGCTCATAAATGTCATTCATTTTATTCCGCAAGTCATTTGCATAATCGGTTATACTGCGTGGGGCATCAGGTGGTATCCCGGTGGTCAGGTCTGCAGGCAGCCGTAATTCTCTTCCAAAGTTTGCGAAAGCTGGTGTGACTGCTGTACTTTCGTGAATAGCGCTTCGATATGACAACAAAAACGGTTGTATGTGCTTGTCCTAATCTCGTTGCCGATTGTTTACAACTTTTGCTAGGTACCTCTCCAATGTCTGATTAAATCGTTCTATCATTCCATCGGATTGCAGGTGATAAGAAGTCGTTCTTGTTTTATGAGTACCCATAACTCGGCAAGTTTCCTGAAATATTTGAGACTCAAAATGCCTTCCTTGATCGCTGTGAATCTCTAAAGGTACTCCAAAACGACAGAAAACTTCATGAACTAGTTTATCTGCAACTTTTGAAGCTTCTTGATTAAGACTTCTGGCCACTTAATGAAGTAATCCATCACAACCATGAAAAACTTGTTACCGCTTTCGCTCTCCGGAAACGGCCCCGCCACGTCTGGCTATTCTCTCCCATGGTGCACCAACATTGTACAATTTCAACGCAACTCTACTACGAGTCTGAGGTCCCTTTACAGCCTCACAACTTGTACATTTGCGACACCAGTCCTCGACGTAAACCAGTAAAATCGTTCTCGGATCTTCAGTAGAGTTCGTTTAACTCCCAGATGGCCTCCTGAACAATCATTATGGTACAGCTGTAGAACATCCGGTACTTTAGCTTTAGGGACAACCATTTGCAAATGACAGCTGTCTCCCCGAACACTCTCCCATTTACGGCACAGAACTCCATCCTGAAGCAGCAAGCTGTTCCATTGGGCACAATAGCTTTTGGTGGTCGAACTCATCGCTGAGACGTCGCTCCACTTGGGCTTGGGAGCACTGGCCTTCATCCATTCCAGAATCGGCTTGATGTCCGGATCTTCCTGCTGTGCACGTTGTAAGCTGTCCTTCCACTCGTTGCTGAGGTGGTCTGCCCTGAGCATCCTCACGGATACCACTTCCTTACTCTTTTGCCTAGTACAATGTTTGCAACCTTCAGGACAAGGTCTTCTTGACAATGCATCTGCGTTACCATGAGATTTCCCGCTGCGATGTTCGATCTCAAAGTCGTATTCCTGCAGTAGTTCAATCCACCTCGCAACTTGTCCTTCTGGATTTTTAAACTGCAATAGCCATTTTAGTGCAGCATGGTCAGTTTGTAAGTGAAATTTTCGGCCCAGAAGATATTTGCTAAAAAAATGCTGCAACGACTTTACCACAGCTAGCAATTCGCGTCTTGTGACACAATAGTTCCTTTCCGGTTTTGACAACGACTTGCTGAAGTACGCTATCACGACCTCTTGGTCACCATTCCGTCGAGACAACACACCGCCAAGTCCTATATCACTTGCGTCTGTGTCAACTATAAATTCTTTGCTTGCATCAGGGTATCCCAAAATAGGTGTTTTGCACAGACGGTCCTTGAGCTCCTGGAATGCGATATTGCAACTTTCATCCCAGCAGAAATGTCGCTTCTCCTCGGTTAGCTTATGCAGAGGTTTGGCTATATCTGCAAAGTTCTTCACAAATCGTCGGTAATAGGAGCACAAACCCAAAAATGCTCTAACCTGCGTCTTGTCTTTTGGAACCGGCCAATCCTTGACAGGTGCGATTTTCTCGGGATCCGTGCGGGATACCTTCTTCCGACACTACATACCCCAAAAAGTTGACTTGCCGTTTGAATAGTGAACATTTCTTCGGACTCAACTTGAGGTTGGCACTCTGAATCTTCATGAGCATGCGTTCCAGGTTTTGAAGGTGTTTCTCAAACGTACGGCCCACGATGATGATGTCATCCAAGTAGACTAGACAGGCATCGCCAATTAGCCCGGTAAGTAGAAGTTCCATCAGCCTTTCAAACATTGCTGGAGCGTTGCACAACCCAAACGGCATTACTTTAAATTGCCACAGACCCTTTCCCGTCGAGAACGCAATTTTCTTCTTGTCCTTAGGATCAATTTCAACTTGCCAGTAGCCACTTTTTAGATCCAGCGTGCTAAACCACTTTACTCCTGTAGGCATGTCCAGCGTGTCATCAATTCTTGGCAAGGGATAGCTGTCCTTCTTCGTAACGTCGTTCAGACGGCGGTAGTCAACACAAAACCGCATTGCCATCCTTCTTTACCAGCACCACGGGTGAACACCATGGACTAGAGGAAGGTTCAATAACACCATCCTTCACCATTCCTTCAATCATGGTTTCTACTTCCTTTTCACGTGCTACCGGCAATCTTCTTGGCCGCTGACGGATAGGCAATTCTTCTCCTGTGTTTATTTTGTGTTGAACTAAGCCAGTCTTTCCTATGTCAGCATCGTTTGATGAGAATACATCGGCGTACTTGAGTAACAACTTCTTCGACTTGACCGTTTTGTTCGGGGAGAGAACACTGCGACAGTCTTCCAAAAGTGTGGTCACTCTCGTTTCTGAATCCTTGCTGGGGGTCCCACTCGATATATAGGCACCGACGTAACCAATCCACTTCCTCACAAGTACCTAGCTGTGTGCCTTTTTCTATAATCTGTTCCCGGTCACAAAGGTTCAGCACATGTACTCCTGAGATGTCAGTGGTCCTGACCAAGGTTCGAGCTACTTTCCATGGAAGGTCATTGTTTACTCTTTCCACAAGTACACAACGGTGAGCTTGCCCAGCGTTTCGAGGAAGACTAACCGGAACAATAGTTTCCGATCTCGGCGGAAGAACACTCTTCTTAATGCTGTACACGTTCCCTGGCAACGCACTTTCCATAAAAAGTTCCCCCTGTCCACATTTCAAAACACCTTGCTTAACGTCGATCTCACAAAAATTATCTCTCATAAAGTCTAGGCCCAGGATGCAATCGTCCATTATATCAGCCACGATGACATTATGCAGGTACATCACGTTGCCTAGCTTCAACTCCATCTCCTTTTCTCCACGGACGGGTATACGCTGACCGGTGGCTGTTACCAACTTAATGCGTTCTCGGTTGTATGCGGAGTCCCCAAGGAACTGACTTATAAGTTGGGAACTAACAACCATACGAGAGGCTCCAGTGTCTATGGTCAGTTTACACGGCATTCCGTTGACCTCGCCCTTGATGATTAGACTGTTCCCATCATGGGTTTGTGAGATCGAGATCCTTGGGGCTCTTTTAACATCAGCCAGCACCCTCCCCGCAGTTCTGGCTTTTACTCGTTTCCCTGCTGCTGCTGGGCGGTGCTGTTGGCCGTACTACCCTCCTGAGATCGTTCACCTTCCCTTTCTAGGGTTCGCTTAGGGCAGCTGGATCGAAGATGGCCCCTTTCCCCACAACCATAGCACCTATGGCTGTATCCTTTGTTGCGGTCGCGAACTGTAGCTGCTACAACCTCCCTGACGCGAATGGAACGATGATCCTGTCGCACGGCTTCCACCTCCAGTGCATGGGCCAAGGCGTCCTTAAGCGTTTCTTGGTGCCTCAGCCTCACAGCAGCTCTGACTTCCAGGTCGCGGATGCCGTCGATGAATGTCTGCACCAGGTTCCCTTCAATGAGCGCAGGTACAGACCGGTATGCATTTCGCACCAGCTTCTCCACCTCTAGAGCCCACTGCTGCAGGTTTTCATTGATGCGCTGCACGCGATCTTTAAGCTGCGCACGAAAAACGTGTTCCAGGTGAGCGTCGCCATATCTCGCCTCCAATGCCTCAAGGAGCTTCTCATAAGTCACTTCCTCACCGAGAGCTTCCAGAACAGTTAAGGCCTGATCGCGCAGGCCTAGTGTGAGAGCAGTCATGGCCTGACTTTTATTCCAGCCGTTCGCCTTCATAACGGCTTCAAACTGGATTTTGTAAGCTGACCAGGAAGAAGTCCCGTCGAACGGTGGCACTTTGAACCCACGTAGCGAAGGTGTTGTAGCTACTACGGGAGCTGTAATTCCATCCCCCAGTTTGAGGTCGTCCAACGTTTTCTTCACGTCAGCCATCACGTTGTCAACCCGATTGTTCACTTGGTTGATTCGGGTTTCAGCTTTCTCGATTCGGGTTTCAGCTTTCGCGATTTGGGTTTCAGCTTCTGACAGGCGGTTGTCATGCTGAGCAACCCTATCCTTCACCTCCTTGATCTCCTTCCCGAAGGTAGCGTGAAGTTCCTTCATGAGGAGCATCTGCTCTTCCAACCGGCGGGCCTGTTCCTCTTGTCCACCCCGCAGCTGCTCTTCCAAACGACGAACCTGTTCCTCTTGTCCGCTCTGCAGCTGCTCTTTCAACTGACGGACCTGTTCCTCCTGTCGGCGAGCCTGCTCCTGCAGCATCACCATCAGAGCACCTAAGTCAGGTGCAGCAGATGTAGGAGCTACTGACAGGCCTGCAGCCGGCGGCTGGCCCTCCGATGTCTGCGGCGTTGCACCACCAAATCTTCTTTGGTCCGTCTCCTGCTGGCGTTGACTTCGGGTACGGACACCCTCCGTTTCGTCCTTAGGTAAAATCGGAATGATTTTATCCCACTTCTGATCACCAATTGTTACAAGCTTGAGGTTCGTGACAATTAAAACTGCCGATTGAATCATCAAAATTTACACTTTTATTCCCGAACACCAATTAAAACTTAAAGCACTAATAATTAACCACACTGATTCACTTTATTTGCTCCGAAGCTTCGCTTGTCTCGCCAAATTCAATACTTCCCCGATCGCACCTTGCAGCGCCTATAAATACACATTAGCACCGAAACATCCAGAACATTCAAGTAAATACGAGCAAGGCGTCGAAAGTTAAATTGTCGGCTTCTAGAAGCTTAGTTCTTCGTTTCGACACTAGATGGCGCTGTCGGTTGAAAGATTAGTGATATCATTTTCTGGAAAGTTCTCCCCCGCTCTCGTCCCTGTCACAACTCACAACATGACGTCAACTTAGGCGCGCAACAATACTCAAAGGTCCAGCCGCGGTGTCAAACTTTTATTCGACCAGTATTCCATATTATTCTACTAAGAATAAGGAGCAAAGTAAAAAAAAATACTTTGAAGTTCAAAGTATTTTTTATTCACAAATACTATTGAGTTTCTTATTTCTATTTAGATACGGATCATTTTCTTATGCAAGTATTTTCATGTGTAGTGTTCAAGTTCTTGGAGCATCTGACTTACAGCAGATACTTTCATACTTGCAAGTATTTTTTGATCGTACCAGGGCGCCGTACTTTGAAGTGAAAACCTGGTAGTGTATATACGTTTCATCACTAACGAGTCTATTTCGATGAAGCTGTGAAGGCCGCAAGTCACAGCATACACTTTTAGAAAGAAAAAAATCAATTACTAGGCACTTAAATTTTTTACATTTGTAAGACACATCAATTACTAAATTATAACAAAATAAAAAATAAAAAAACAATTTGACATACATAAAATTATAATCAAAAAAAATACTACGTCACATAATTTTAATTCGTGTCACAATTTGAAAATTACCGAAAAGTGGTGGGAAAAAAACTTTTTTCATGTGTCACATTCATCATAGTAAGTTTTTATTTACAGATATTCCAGTATCTAGGAATGAGGGATTTGGCGCATTGCGCGAGAGTCTGCAAGCTGTGGCAACAGCTCGCCTCTACACCAGCTCTGTGGAGACATGTGCGAATGAAAAATTCACATGTAAGTGACGCGTTCCTTTTTTTTAATTATACTCTCTACACACTCACTCTTTTGGTTCACACTTACTCTGACTAATTAACCTCTCCAACAGATATAAACAGACCGAAACGACTGAAGTAAAACTTCTATAGCTCCATCTGTAGGGAACTCTGTATACATAATTTATTATTATTTACCCGAAAATTCTCAAAACATGAACTTTAAAATGAATTTATAATTTTAAGAAAAATGACTGGTGATGAGAGAAAGAGAGAAAGAAAATGTGCGCGCGCACTACCCTGTCTTGCTTATATCCCTCACTCAACTCCCGTTCGCCTCGCCTGATCACACTTTTCGTAAAGCTTTCGTCACGCGTTCGCCAGCTTACCCCTCAAGTCAAGCGTACGTAAAGAAGTTTTACTTCTATAAGTTAACACCTTATTATATCACTTCCACAAGTAAAACATCTTACAACTTGCCGAATATAAAATCCATCAAACTTTATAAATTAATGTAGCTATTTACTATGGATTGACTGTTAGCTTGTTTGTTTCTGTAATGTTATTAAAATCTTATGTGTGTGAGAGCTGTCAACCTGTTCAAAAATGTTAGCTTATAATACTTTACAAGGTAGTATGGACTCTGTTTTACCCAGGAATCTGCCTGGGTTTATCCGTCTTATGTATTTCTGTCACCAGTAAAATTACAGGCTTTGTGAAGCATTTCATCTTAGTCCTCAACTTCTTTTTTTGAAGTAGGCTGCATGTGTAGATTACAGTAGTCAATTTAACCTCATCAGGTAAACTGTATAAAATCATCAGTATAAAAAAGTGACTGGATTTTTATTTTAATTTTAGGTAAGTGATTGGGGTGGGTTATGTGCAGTTTTAAAACGTCACGGAACCAAATGGCTTGATCTTCGCAAAATGCTTTTACCACAAAACGACACGATCTTCTGGGACCAATTCGCTGAGCACATTGGCACTGTAGATACGTTGGAGAGGTAAGAGTTATAATATTCATAATTTTTTCTATTGCAGTTATATTTTTATTGTAAATTTACTATTACTCATGAAAAATAATAAAGTAGTATTTATATTAATTCTAAAGTAGTAACATAATACTGAAGTACATACGTACTTTGTTTAGTTAATTTTTTATTTAATTTGTTATTTTATTAAATAGAGCACATTAAATGTCTTAAAATATGAATTCATTGTGAATGCTGAAGAAAAAGTATTAATTTTAAAAACACTTTTTCAGTTTTCATGATGAATTCGAACGAAGATCTAAAGAAAATGATGGAAATTATTTTCTTTAGATCTGTGGATGCAATTATTTTCATAGAAATGGAACATTTGGAATTCAAGGTATTGATTTTTATAGGAATCGTTCCAAAAAACAAGAGTTTTTAAATGACAGCCAATTTTTCAGTTTTCATGACGAATTTATATTCATAGACCACTTGGATTTTAGGATATAGATAAGGAATCTCTCCAAACACGAGCTTTCAAAATTGTGGACGTTTTCTTAAGCTTTTGCGACGAATTCCTGTTTAATAGGCCATAATATAATGATATTTATTGTAAATATAATCTGTGTAGAAACAAGACTTGTGAATGTATTACTGAACAAATAACCTTTTGTATTTCTAAGAACGAATTCGTAATCGTAGATCGCACGAATTTTTAAATATTAAATTTTGATGAAGTAATTATTATGTTGTATGTATGAAATATAAAAATAAAATAATCATATGTATATCTTTGTTATATTGTTTCCACATGATGGTGGAAGGCTTTAAATCGGTATCTCTACGGCATGCACACTAAGACAGCCAGTGTAGGTGTAGGAAGTTGTCACGTATGACGTTACGGGGCGTCGCGTCGCACTATCTAAACATTATAGTAATGTTATGCAATCCGAATTTCGCATCTGTGTAGGACAAGATTAGAGTGCTCGGGTGTATGCGTAAGAACAAGTGCTCTCATAGTTTGATGGGACGGTAAACTGTCAAAACTGGAGAGAGATCAGCCGCGGGATCAGTGGCTTTACGTATTTTCCGAGCCATGGGGGTGAGACATCGCTAATTTCCTGGCTTCGGGTAGCTATTTAGAATTACTTGACAGAAAAACTCAATAATAGATTTGTTTTTTCTTCGATCTGGGATTCGAACTTACGACTTCATGATCAGAAATTATGTTAATGATCACTAGAAAAAGCAGAGTTGACTAGATGAAGCAGTTTCGACATAAAATGATGTACGTGTACCGGTGCGGTAACAGTGCATGTGCGTGTACGTGCGTTCAGGCTGGAGTTGTGCCGCTGCCCGGCGCGCGCAGTGGAGGCGGCCATGGCGCGCGTGCCGACGCTGCGCGCGCTGGCCGCGCCCGCCATCCGCGACGCGCGCCTCGACCCCGCCGCGCTGGCGCTGCTGCCGCGCCTCGAGCTGCTGCGCCTCAAGTCGCTGGCCGGACTCGCGCTGGCCTCCGACCTGCGCCCCCTGGCCGCGCTCACGCGCCTGCAGCACCTGTCGCTCACCAGCATCAAGGAGCTGGGCTGGTGCGCGTGCGAGGTGGTCGGCCAGCTGGAGATGCTGGAGTCGCTCGAGCTGGGCGAGTGCTCGTTCGGCGCGCCCTTCGCCGCCGCGCTTGCCCGCCTGGGGCGCCTCCGCCGCCTGCGCCTCGAGCGCGGCGTGGCGCACTGCGCCGCGCCCGCGCTGCTGCGCGCGCTCGCCACGCTGCCGCGCCTCCCGCGCCTCGAACTCGTCAACTTCGATGTCAAGGTACGTCAGCAGCAAGCGACGTGTCGTCGCGACACAACTGGTTTCTATGTAGTTCTATGAAATACGTTCCGTAGCTAGCGACACGTCGTTTGCCTAGCGGCAGACGACACTGTAGCCCGACCGCAAATCAGTAGTGCCGCCGACGCCCGAGCGACAATACGTTGAATTTTTCTTAAAAAATGAGTTTCACTGATATCCGAGGAAGAGAAACTGATAAACTAGGTGGTCCAATATCCCGCACTGTTCGTTTCCTCACTTCCTCTGCATTTCAACATAGGACCTGTGTTTTTTCGTCTTTTCTCTTTTATACTTGTATAATAAAAGCAAGTTATCATTATCTTCCTCTTCTAACAAAAGATACAAAAATAATCAAATAAACAAAAAAGATCGCTGATTTCAAACACGTCAGACATCATGTCCTCCTAAACACTCAGCACAGACTGCACACGGGCTGCTGCCGCCTGCAGTCGGATACGGAGTCATAACTGCAGCGACATGACGCCACATGTCGCAGCGACATTTCGCGGCGACACGTCGCCTGCTGCTGCTGCCTGCAGTCGGCTTTGGAATTGCACCTTTAAAGACTGAGACGCTACTAATTTCACGATTTACATGTAACTGCTAATATGTTGAAATTATTCATATTAATTGCGGATTGTCCACGTCATACTTTGAACATCTTGATAAAACCTTTATTTTAAAGAAATTTTTATCTCTAATATAATTAATTTCTTAAAAAAATTGTTCAAAACATGTTTATAATTTCAGGTTGGTTTTGACGACGCGTTAGCAGAGTGTAAAAATATCCAGAGACTCCTTATCATACCTACATACGTGTCACAATCGGCTACCACGAATAAGCAGGTATGGTTATTACTAAATTATATTTTATAGCAACATTTATAGCATTTTGATACACCAATTCATCTTCTATCATATTGTATATTATGTACCTCCGCATACTGGATACTGTGTTCATTATGACCAACATTCAACAAGTTGAAGATAAAAAAAAATTGGTACTAAGTAATTTGTGCCACTATATATTTTTGGGAAAAAAATGTATAAAAGCATGTAATAGTTATTAAATAACGACACTCGCTTCGTACCGCAGTAGCTAAGGTTTTGTTGGGACGCTCCATTACTATGGGTTAGAATCCCGATGGCCTAACAATAAATGTTCCAGGTCTGTGGAATAAGTTCTAGAAATAATTTTTGTCGTCATCATTACAACCGTTCACAAACCCCAACATAAAGTTATGAGCTGCTTACATGTTATAATGGTTTCTTATATATTACATGAATACTACACATTGAATAAAACTAAACTTATGGATTTCATAGTATTTAATTTTATTTATTTTTAATTGGGAATTCATGGGGTACGGTTCCTTTCTGCCGCATGGGTGTTGCAAAACGTTGAAAATTTAAAAGAAGTAGAATTAAACGCGATAAAATCCCTAAGAATAATTTTATTTCAATTTGCATATATCGACACATTGCGTGCCTTACCAGGTCGTCACTCCTATCTAGTGGGGGCCCTTTAACGCTGAGCTTCCCTTCGGAAATGTTCGAGCTATATAATTGGTGTGCAGGTGCTGAGCGGCGTGCTGCGGCTGAAGGACACGCTGACGCACCTGATGTGGGGCGTGACCATCGAGCTGCTGCGCGTGACCGAGCTGTTCATCGACCAGTGCGAGCAGGGCGGCGAGGCGACCGACGGCAGCGAGTCCGGTGACAAGCGGCGCGACGTGGGCGAGTGCATCCCCGTGCTCAAGCCCGTGCCCGGCTGCCGCTTGCCCGACGACCGCCACCTGGTGGCCGGCCCGCCGCAGGTATGTGACACGTGACGCTCGTGGGCGAGTGCATCCCCGTGCTCTAGCCCGTGCCCGGCTGCCGCCTGCCCGACGACCGCCACCTGGTGGCCGGCCCGCCGCAGGTACGTGACTCGTGATGCGTGACGCACGTGGGCGAGTGCAACCCCGCGCTCAAGCCCGTGCCCGGCTGCCACCTGCCCGACGACCGCCACCTGGTGGCCAGCCCGCCGCAGGTATGTGACTCGTGACGCGTGACGCATGTGGGCGAGTGCAACCCCGCGCTCATGTCCGTGCCCGGCTGCCGCCTGCCCGACGACCGCCACCTGGTGGCCAGCCCGCTGCAGGTATGTGACTCGTGACGCGTTACGCATGTGGGCGAGTGCTACCCCGCGCTCATGTCCGTGCCCGGCTGCCACCTGCCCGACGACCGCCACCTGGTGGCCGGCCCGCCGCAGGTATCGTGACGCTCGTGGGCGAGTGCATCACCGCGCTCAAGCCCGTGCCCGGCTGCTACCTGCCCGACGACCGCCACCTGGTGGCCAGCCCGTCGCAGGTACGTGACTCGTGACGCGTTACGCATGTGAGCGAGTGCAACCCCGCGCTCAGTCCGTGCAACCCCGCGCTCATGTCCGTGCCCGGCTGCCATCTGCCCGACGACCGCCACCTGGTGGCCGGCCCGCCGCAGGTACGTGATGCTCGTGGGCGAGTGCATCCCCGCGCTCAAGCCCGTGCCCGGCTGCCACCTGCCCGACGACCGCCACCTGGTGGCCAGCCCGCCGCAGGTATGTGACTCGTGACGCGTTACGGATGTGGGCGAGTGCAACCCGCGCTCATGTCCGTGCAACCCCGCGCTCATGTCCGTGCCCGGCTGCCACCTGCCCGACGACCGCCACCTGGTGGCCGGCCCGCCGCAGGTACGTGATGCTCGTGGGCGAGTGCATCCCCGCGCTCAAGCCCGTGCCCGGCTGCCACCTGCCCGACGACCGCCACCTGTCGGCCGGCCCGCCGCAGGTACGTGATGCTCGTGGGCGAGTGCATCCCCGCGCGCAAGCCCGTGCCCGGCTGCCACCTGCCCGACGACCGCCACCTGGTGACCAGCCCGCCGCCGGTACGTGACACGTGACGCTTGTGGGCAGCTCGTGTCCGACATGAAGCAAACTGCTTGGCGCAATAGTTACAACGCTAAGAGTCGCGGGTTCGAATTCTGCGCGGAACAAAAATATTTCTCTCGTAGAATATCCTTCTTAGTTAAGTTACAATTCTGGATCAAAAACTTCCGCTAATTCTCGTAGCATCATTTCAACCATAACTTACCTTGAAACAATATTTTAAATCCGTTCCAATTTTACTAAGTCAGATTTCTGAATGAGCGTAAGTTTGAATTGAATTTCTTATTATATGGAAAAACAAGTTAATTTGTTTTATTGTTTTATATTCTAATTCTATATTTTTAAGTAAATAATCTAATAATAAGAAGAAATTATATTATAGTTCACCGTAACAAAAAAGATTTCAATTTTTCTGATTGCAATTTTTTTTTATTGTGTGTAGTTATTCAATCTACATGGGATAACTACACTAAAAATATTCACTTTAGATTCCGAGCCCTGCGGAATGAGCCATGTTGGCTTTCTACAAGAGTAAAGGTGCTTAAAAAACTATAAAATTTAATGGGAATAGTATATTTCAATGTTGTCAATGTGACTTCTAGAAAATTTCATTAATTCCATAATAAAAATATTAATTATTTTGCAATTTTCCGCTAACTAAATACAATGATGTGTCTTACCTGGATTGAAGAGCACCTCCCGCCTTCTCTCAATTGCATGCACTAACTCCGTCACTACTAGTCCCAGCACCTACTACTCCCAACACCACTATTCCAGGAAAGACACACCATCGACAATAATACACGTGTTTCGCCTCTACACGGGGCATCTTCAGGTGATGTAGACTCTATGGCGGCTGACCGCTAAGATGCATCTTAGCGGTTGCAAATTAATTAATATTTTTATTATAATGGATTTCCGCAAAGTAACGCCTGATTCTATCAATTATATTAATTTTATAGTTTTTTTAGTGTTAAAGATTGTAGAATGTAAAACTGGCTAACCCCTCGAAGTATGATGAATCCCTGACCCTCCATCATGAGAATGGTACAGTAGTATATATAGTACATGTTTAATTTAAGGGTAATTTATTTAAAAAAATCTTTGTAGGTGGAGATCCTGCCACTACCAACACTCCAGCGGCTGTTATCAGCACAAATGCCCAACACGAAGCTGAAAATACTACGCATCCCGTTCCACGCCACCTGGCGGCAGTCACTCGCAGACTTTCAGTAGCACAATCAATGTCAATGCTGTATTTTGCTTCCCTATAAGCAATGGACGTGATAGGCCTACAGAAGGCTAATAGAGGTCAAGTGACTTGTTAAAAACAGTCCGTTTGAGCATGTGAGTGACAATCAAGTATTCATCTTTTTGTGTGTTACACTGCCTGCACTGCAGTGGGTGTCAAAAATATGGTTTATTGTAAACAGGAAGAGGTATGTTTTATTTTTATCTGTGAACTGAATGAAGGAATTATCGCTAAAGTTATTAGTAGTTATTACAGGATGCAAATTATTACATATGTGGCAATACTAGAATCCACTTAGAAATAGTCCAAACTAGATTGACTACAGTACTTTAGTTGGTATCCAGTTTTTACCATCGATAAGTAAAAATTTCTAGTAACAGTATCTCTCAATTTTTAGCTAAAGATTTCCTCAATTGAGATGGTTTTGGCAGTCTTCACGTGTTTCAAAATGTTTTTGATATCTCAGACATTGTTTTATTTACGATGTTTTCTCCAAACATCTAGCACGTGGTTAAATCTTGTCACTTAGTAGTACTTGAAAAAGCAATTAATTTTCATTAGTGTCTATGGTACTATCTATACAATATATTCATATTTTAAAATGTATGAAATACACTTTTCACTTTGTGAATATCGGATATTCGTAGGCTCGAGAATCATCCGATAGTAAGTGGTGATGTAGCCGAAGTTGATGAAGCACACTGACTTTATCAACTTCGGCATAATAACTTAACAAAAGCCTATTCATTCTTGCCTTAAAACCTACACTAATGAAATGGATAGAAATATGCTGGCAAATTATTCCTACGCATTAGATATACGCGTTATGGATGTTGAAGCAAAACATTAGGTTCATATGCGTGCTATGTCGACATAATGGGGTGGAGACTATCCGACCATCTGGTAGTGAGGAATTTAGATGGATGTGGAACACAGGCTGGCTATGTTACATCTGTGCTCATGACTCCCAAGATTGGCTTTAGTCACGTTAAGGTCACGGGTAAGCTCAATACCACGCTTTTCTATTGAGTACCTAGCTGTTAGGTGGCATTTTACAGCACCAGTCCATATATGGACTTGTACTTCATATAGGGTAAAAAAATGTGTCCCGGCGTGAAGTACCGCCGCACCTTTGCAAGGATACCTAACTCCCTTGCAGCTGCTTTGGCCCTAGGCTCGCAATATATTAAGCTTTTTGTAAAGGCACTGGTTAAAGATGAACGGGAGGTGTTTGGATACAAGTTGTTTTGATTACAACATTACTAATTAGCACATATCTTATTTCTTCATTTAGTTGAAATAGCAAATAGACATGAAATAGAAAATATAATTCCAGTGAAATTAAAAATTAGTGTATTTTACCATTAATTCCTAGTTTGTTATAAATATAAAATATCAATCAGTTAACTAACTATATTTGCCTGCTGAGCATAAACCCTCTAAGTCCCGATTTTCATTTGAAAAGTGACAAGTGCGAGTGACAAGTGTAACTGACAAATGACAAGTGCTTAGTGCGTGTGAGCCGTGGTAGCTCAGTGGTTAACGCTCGCTGTAAATATAACAGAACGCGAGTAACCCGGGTTCCATCCCCGCCGGCACCAATGAAATTGTTAATTGCAATTTTAAGTGCTGATTTACCACGTGCTCGACGGTGAAGGAAAACATCGTGAGGAAACCTGCATGTCTGAGGAATAAGAAAAAAAATATTTCGAAGACATGTGAAGTTCGTCAACACGCATTTGGGCAGCGCGGCGGACACTTCCTTGCCCTAAACCCTCTCAGAAATGAGGGGAGGCCTGAGCCCAGCAGTGGGACGTATATAGGCTGTAACTTTACTTTACTTTAGTGCGTGTAAACAGGCATTGACAAGTGATAAGTGTGAATAAAATTCGCACTAATCACTTGTCATTCGTCAGTTGCACTTGCCACTCGTACTTGTCACTTCTCAAAATGTAAACCGGGCCTAAGTAACGCCGGAAAACACAGAATTGTATCCATCGATTTTTTTCATGTCTTACCACGTAGTGGGGTACCGCCCTATATTAGACCTGCCGGTGCGAGGCTGCCACTAGAGCATTTTTCCCATTGGTTAGCGAAATCGTCCAATCAATTCTTTTTCTGAAGCATTATTAAAAAAAAACTGTAATTCATTTAAAATGAATTACAGTTTTTTTTTTAATAATGGGCGTGTCACATGTAGGCGATGGGGCGACGTTGTTCCAGCCTTTTATCAGCCCCTACGATGTTTGTGTCGTCCAATTAGAAATTTATATTTTATGCGAATTTGGATGGACCCATTTAAAAAAATTATATTTTTAATAGTATCCTAAATTCGAATACTGTTTATTTGTATGAAATATTATAAAATAAATTTTAAGATTACAATCAATTACTACTTTTTTACGGCGTTCAATTTCGCCTTCATTGAACCAATTAACTAAAGTGACCTGTCCGTCTGATGATAAATAGCCCCTGCAGACCATTTGAGGTCAACTTCAAACGAAGAAGGATGCACTCTCTGAGGACTAAAGCAAGTTTTAGACGAAGCCTGTAATGCTGACGCCAGTCCTCAGACAAGCCAGCCTGGCCCGTGTTGTTTAGATGTGGCCAAATGGATTCATTTCATTCCTAGATTATTCTCGTAAATCGTTGTATTAAATTAATGATTTTTAAAACTAACTGAAAAATAATATTTATCATATCTGGCGCGAGAGTTGCGGGGCACGCGGGTGGAGGTCACTGGCTTGAAAAATAGGCAGGCGTTCTTATCTCGCCAGTGCTGGTAGCCAGCGCTGGCTTGTCTTGAAAAACTGTTTATACAAGGCTAATAACAAGCCAGCGCTGGCTTCGCCTAAACCTAGCTTAAAAGGGAATGTATCACAGCCTGTAATTGTACTGGTTTAGCAGTACACGCATTGCTGCTTAGTAGCCAAAACAGTCAAGAGGGTGGTACATAGATATACTACAAACAAACACGTTAAGTAACTGAAAACTAAATTTGGATGCAATATAGATTATTTTTCAAATAATTATTTCTTTTAAACATTGCTTTGCACAAGCATCTAGTTCCACAAAGAGACAATGGATTGTGTGTTTTGAAATGCGACGCATAATCATAGTAATTTTTGTTTGTAAAACTAATGGCCAAATACTTAAACGCTACCCTATTTGAAGATGTCGTTAAGTCTCGTGGTGTCACCGTCACTTTGACTTAAAGTGATAGAGACAGCACGAGTCTTTAATTTGAGCCGCGTTTGATTATTTTGGCATAATTATATCTATTTACAAACAAACTAATTGCAATGGATTATATATATCAGTTAATGATAATATTATATTAGACATAATGTTCGCTTAAATTTAAGATTGTACATACATTTAAATTTAGACTAGAGAACAGTGCCTATGTGGAACTTTTGATTCATGGTCACACCATATAGAGGCATAAAGATTTTGAACTATTATAATGTTTGTGTGTATTTCATTATGTTTTCCTATAATATTAACTTAGAGTGATGTTTTTAATAATGATGGTTGGAGCAAATTATGTATACATGAGAATTATATTATTTTTTTAAATTTGTACACTGTATGGAAAGTACAAGATATATATTTTCCTTTAATTGTGTAAATTGATTTTCTCCTTTATTTGCGACCGTGTTTCTTCTATTTTTATCCTCTTACTTCGTTACCCACATTGTTTTTAAAAGTTACTGTGGGTAATCTTATGTGTACCCTATTTAATCCTTTGATGACTTATTTAAGAGACAAAAGATCCATATCACAAAATATTTAAATTCGCCTAAGATCTATACAGTTATTTTTCAATAACCGGCCAAATTTGCAGAGAACGTTCAGAATAAGTAATAAAGGCAAATGGTGAAGAAAAATTAACCAAAAAATGTTAAACATTCTGTCATTTCTAGCTTTTAAATTCAAAATGCACGGTAATGCATTAATTTAATTGATTTTACTGCGTACACGTACATACGTAAAGGTCGATCGGTAGGTAGCTCGGTCGGCACAAACGTTGTTGCCCATAAATCACATTCAATTTGGAATAATTTCAATCTGTGGGAACTAAAAATTTTGTAATATAGGTCTTTCGTTTCTTAAACATGGTAGTCAAGACAAATATTTATGCAATATATGTTACATATTTTTCTTCATCTAAATGTAACATTATGTAAATTGTCTATCTCCTCTACTCTGTTAACTGAATTTGTTGAACTGTAGAGTTTTAAAATAGCACCGACCAATGTAATCTTTTCAATGTATAAGTTATTAGAGGAGCTCAAAATTATTCGATTTGTCATTGTGTACAGTATAATTCTAGTTATATACAAATTGTATGAAAATGATTTTAAGACAAAAAAAAGAACGACTTCGAAAATTTAATAATTATAATTTTTAATTGCAAGACTTGATGGCATGTTATATTATTTGTGTATTTCGTTCAAAAATTGATTTATTTGCTGTTAAAGCGTAGCTTTATTGGATAAAATCTTAGACGGAACCGTCTATCCTTTATAATCTCTTTTTAACAGATGCTTCGTATTTTATTGTAGTGGTTAATTTTGCGGGATCGTCCCCGAGAAGCCGTGTGTTTTATGTAAAAAAAGTTTAGATATATCGTGTAGCGTCGATTGCACTCGCATCCGGGGACAATCTCCATTAGGTTTAATTATATAGAATAAATACTAGGCGACTAATAAATAAAACTGTTGCCAAATATAACGTGTTTTATTTGTATTCAATCATTTTCAATATCTGATACCATGTGTTTAAATGTAGCCGAGGAAACGTGGGAGTATATCTCAGAGTAATTTACTAGAATATGTATGTGACTACTGTTTTTAATATACTCCATATTAAAAAAATAAGTAAATACAGATAAAAGTAAAGGTCAATCAACCAAGTGACGAAAATGCAAAACAATCACTAGATATATCTTTTTTGAGCACACCAAAACACAAAATAAGAG